TTGTTAAAAAAGCTGATAAAATACGGTGAAAATTGTGGAACTTGGAAAGCCGGTGGAAGTTGCCTTCTAAACCCCGGGCTCTGAATCTGTTCGAAAACAGCAAAGTAAAAAGTTTCACAAATTTGTAATAATAATGATAAATGGATTTCAATCTTGCAATTTATTTTCTTAGAACAGCTGATAAAATATGGTGAAACATGCGGAATTTAGAAAGCCGGTGAAATTCGCCTTCTGATCCTGTGGCCCTAAATCTGTTCCAAAACAGCAAACATTCACACATTTGTTAACATAATAATAATTATCAAGGGAATAAAACAAACAACAGATGTGCTGTCAGCAGACATGCAAAAACTGAACCCTTCTCTCCTAACATGATCAATAGCTTTCCCGTGGTACCTACCTAACCTAGCCCGTCGGGCCCAGCGGGTGGTCGGGTGAAAGTCATAAATGTTTTGTGTAAAAAGTATGGTAAGTATCAATGTGTGATGTCATTTTTCAAGCTTAGAAGGATGTGTTTTTCTTTCATGTTTAATTATGTGTAGTTCATCAGTTTCTGCTTTGTAGATGGTGGAAAAGGCAGTTACAGCCGCAGAGGCCAGCTGATTGTATGATTTTCATCGAAGAGCTAAGTTAGGGCTACCTGTTCCTGATTGTATGATTTTCCTCGAGGAGCTAAGTTAAGGGATGTGTTTTTCTTTCATGTTTAATTATGTGAAGTTCATCAGTTTCTGCTTTGTAGATGGTGGAAAAGGCAGTTACAGCCGCATAGGCCAGCTGATTGTATGATTTTCATCGAAGAGCTAAGTTAGGGCTACCTGTTCCTGATTGTATGATTTTCCTCGAGGAGCTAAGTTAAGGCTATCATTTATCCTGATTGTATGATTTTCCTCGAGGAGCTAAGTTTAGGCTATCTGTTCTCTTTTTTTTGCACAATTTATTTAAATATCCATTTGAGTAGGATTGCGGGTTTTTTGAAGCGCTGAGTTTTTGCAGCGAGCTTTTCCTGTTAGGGCCTGCGAGATACCCGCGGAAACACATATCTCTTCAGCATTGCGCGCCACACAGGAATGCGTTTAAATATCCATTTGAGTAGGATTGCGGGTTTTTTGAAGCGCTGAGTTTTTGCAGCGAGCTTTTCCTGTTAGGGCCTGCGAGATACCCGCGGAAACACATATCTCTTCAGCATTGCGCGCCACACAGGAATGCGGCTGAATCACGTGCGATTGTGAGTGAGGTACCCCCAGTTGGAAGATTCGGCTGTAGAATTGTAGTTTTAAATACGTAGTTTGACGTAGATCTCGGAAAAGTGAGATACGGCCAGAAATGAGTGTGGGTATGTACCTCCGTCCTGAAGATTATGATCGGCGCCGATTGAAATAAGTCGCCGTGCATATCTCGGCTTATTGACGACCGATTGACACGGGACAAACACCGATCGATACCAAATGGCTCTGGGGGGGGGGGGGGATAGAGTGGCAAGTTTTTCTACCCGACGAACCCGGAATTATCCCGAGGGTGTAGGGGTGGGAGTAGAGTCGGGGGAACAAGGGGGGGGGGGGGCGAGTACAAGTACCAAGCAAGTACCAAGTACTTTCGCAAGTACCAAGTACTTTTACAAGTACCAAGCAAGTACCAAGTACTTATGCAAATACCAAGCAAGTACCAAGTACTTTGGCAAATACCGAGTACTTATGCAAATACCAAGCAAGTACCAAGTACTTTGGCAAGTACCGAGTACTTTGGCAAGTACCAAGTACTTTTGCAAGTTCAGCAAGTTTTTCGCCAATATCGAAGCTTCTAGACGTCCGATCGTCACCGGAAAAACACCATTCGATCCCAAATTTTCTCCCGAATCTTTTTATGGTCAAAGCGACGCGGAGCGAGCCAAGATATCTTGTTTAGTTATTCATTTGAGTAGGATTTCGGGTTTTTTGAAACGCTGAGTTTTTGCAGCGAGCTTTTTCTCTTAGGGCTTGCGAGATAGCTGCGTGCACACATATCTCTTCAACATTGCGCGCCTCACAGGAATGCGGCTGATTCACGTGACAAACTCGGTGGCGGTCCCTCCGTTGCGGAGATTCGCCGCCGACCGCCCGACGACGGGAAAAACTGCCGAGTCTGCCGGCAGCTGCTGCCACCTGGACCGCAGTTGGGGCGGCCGGACCGGTGGCTGCTGCCACCTAGCGGTACAACCGCAGTCTAGCGCATACAAGACCGCAGCGTACACTTATCAAAGCATACATGGAAGTCGTAACATACAACGTTCAAAACATACAAAACAGACCAGGTAGTCGAAACATACAAAAGTGCAGTACCAAGTACATTTGCGAGTACCAAGCACTTTCGCAAGTACCAAGCAAGTACAAAGTACTTTTACAAGTACCAATCAAGTACCAAGTACTTATGCAAATACCAAGCAAGTACCAAGTACTTTGGCAAATACCGAGTGCTTATGAAAATACCAAACAAGTACCAAGTACTTTGGCAAGTACCGATACTTTGGCAAGTACCAAGCAAGTACCAAGTACTTTTGCAAGTTCAGCAAGTTTTTCGCCAATATCGAAGCTTCTAGACGTCCGATCGTCACCGGGAAAACACCATTCGATCCCAAATTTTCTCCCGAATCTTTTTATGGCCAAAGCGACGCGGAGCGAGCCAAGATATCTTGTTTAGTTATTCATTTGAGTAGGATTGCGGGTTTTTTGAAACGTTGAGTTTTTGCAGCGAGCTTTTTCTCTTAGGGCTTGCGAGATAGCTGCGTGCACACATATCTCTTCAACATTGCGCGCCTCACAGGAATGCGGCTGATTCACGTGCTTTTGTGAGCGAGGTGCTTCCCTCCGGGAGAAATTCGCCGTCCCCATATGCTTAACACAGAGCCGAGCGGCGGCTGACAGGTGGCCGGCTCTCGGGAGATCGGCAGCCGACACTCGAAAAATCGACAAGCCGCCGCTGAATGCGCGTGCGGCAGTGCTGAGCCGAGTCGTTCCCACGGTCTGAGGTATCCCCAGTTTGAAGATTCGGCTGTAGAATATGTAGTTTTAAATACGTAGTTTGACGTACATCTCGGAAAAGTGAGATACGGCCAGAAATGAGTGTGGGTCCCTCCGTTCTGAAGATTCTGATCGACGCCGATTGAAATAATTCGCCGTGCATATCTCGGCTTATTGACGACCGATTGACACGGGATAAACACCGATCGATACCAAATGGCTCTGTGTGTGTGTGTGGGGGGGGGGGGAGTAGAGTGGCAAGCTTTCCTACCCGACGAACCCGGAATTATCCCGAGGGGGTAGGTGTGGGAGTAGAGTCGGGGGAACGGGGGGGGCGAGTGCAAGTACCAAGTACTTTCGCAAGTACCAAGCAAGTACCAAGTACTTTTACAAGTACCAAGCAAGTACCAAGTACTTATGGAAATACCAAGCAAGTACCAAGTACTTTGGCAAATACCGAGTACTTATGCAAATACCAAGCAAGTACCAAGTACTTTGGCAAGTACCGAGTACTTTGGCAAGTACCAAGCAAGTACCAAGTACTTTTGCAAGTTCAGCAAGTTTTTCGCCAATATCGAAGCTTCTAGACGTCCGATCGTCACCGGAAAAACACCATTCGATCCCAAATTTTCTCCCGAATCTTTTTATGGCCAAAGCGACGCGGAGCGAGCCAAGATATCTTGTTTAATTATTCATTTGAGTAGGATTTCGGGTTTTTTGAAACGCTCAGTGCGGGTTTTTTGAAACGCTCAGTTTTTGCAGCGAGCTTTTTCTCTTAGGGCTTGCGAGATAGCTGCGTGCACACATATCTCTTCAACATTGCGCGCCTCACAGGAATGCGGCTGATTCACGTGACAAACTCGGTGGCGGTCCCTCCGTTGCGGAGATTCGCCGCCGACCGCCCGACGACGGGAAAAACTGCCGAGTCTGCCGGCAGCTGCTGCCACCTGGACCGCAGTTGGGGCGGCCGGACCGGTGGCTGCTGCCACCTAGCGGTACAACCGCAGTCTAGCGCATACAAGACCGCAGCGTACACTTATCAAAGCATACATGGAAGTCGTAACATACAACGTTCAAAACATACAAAAAACAGACCAGGTAGTCGAAACATACAAAAGTGCAGTACCAAGTACATTTGCGAGTACCAAGCACTTTCGCAAGTACCAAGCAAGTACAAAGTACTTTTACAAGTACCAATCAAGTACCAAGTACTTATGCAAATACCAAGCAAGTAGCAAGTACTTTGGCAAATACCGAGTGCTTATGAAAATACCAAACAAGTACCAAGTACTTTGGCAAGTACCGATACTTTGGCAAGTACCAAGCAAGTACCAAGTACTTTTGCAAGTTCAGCAAGTTTTTCGCCAATATCGAAGCTTCTAGACGTCCGATCGTCACCGGGAAAACACCATTCGATCCCAAATTTTCTCCCGAATCTTTTTATGGCCAAAGCGACGCGGAGCGAGCCAAGATATCTTGTCTTCCCCTATTTGTCTCTTAAATGTCCCTTATAAAGGAATCCTCTGTCTCCTTTACCTCGCTTCACTACAAATATGGCGCAACTAAGTCATTCTAGAAGCAGTTTGCAATTGTTACTTACCTTTAGGGCTCTCCCAAATAGCTTCCAGACTAGACACTGAGGTAAAAGTGATAGCACATGAAAGCTCAAAGCAAGAAAAATCAGAAAACTATCTGGCATTTAACATACGTTTAACGGCTGAGCTATTATTCAAGTAGATGTAATCACATCCACGGCAATATCAGAACACCGCACCTGTCGAATTTCCGCCTTGACCAAGCCTTGACTTTCTGCCGTTTATGCGTTAATGCCACTTAAAAATCCTCAGTCGGCGCACGTGCGCTTGTCGAGTCGGGGACCACCAGTCGGACGATTCGGAACTGCCGGCCAATCAGCACGCCGCTTTTGTGATGTGATAGTTTGAGAACCACTGGATATGGTAGCGTAGCAGCTTTTGGAAAGGCGCTACGCTACCAAATCCTCCCCTATTTGTCGCTTAAAGAGGGAATTGAAGGGCAGGATAAAATTACTTCAAAATATGAATTGTTGAATTTCGAGTATTAAATAAGCCCAATTTATATTGTTTACAGCATAAACGATGCTTAGTATGCTTCTAACAACAATAGCGTCCATAGCAGCGTTACACGTGAGCGCTATGATGCCTAAAATTCGATCTGAAAATAGGGGAGAAATAGGGGAAGATTAAGGGAACCCTATGTAAACACGACTAAGGTCTCTGATCAGGTTGTTGGTTGTTTGTGCTACGGCGGCGTTTATGTCGTCGGCAGCCTCCTTAGCTGTGGAGAACTTGTTCACCTCAGCTCCATAGTACGTCTGCAGGTTGTCGGCAAACGACTGCTTAACGGTGGTATCGTCCTTCACATAAATCCCATTGAAGACTGATGTGTTGACGTTTGCAGACGTGGTCGATAAGTAGGTGATGGCTGCTTTGTAGGAAGGCAGGAACGAATCCGGCGCATTCGGCCTCACGCCTAGCACTGGAGTCATCTGAAGCGAAAAAGATATCAAGTGAGCTGCCAAGGCTGTATCAGTTAGCGGTCAGACCTTATTAGGTGGACTTATTCAGCTGTCTCATCAATGTTATGTTGCAGCGAGTGGCTACGCACCCTGCCCACCCCGTCCGATATTGCGCTCTCTCTCTGTCCGCCCTTACCTCGCTCCTGGTGACGCCTCTGGCGCCCAGCCAGACCTGGCTGAGCAGGGTGGACATGACGAACGGCGACACGGGCCTGTTGGTGCTGAGGTCGCTGGTCACCGCCTTCAGCAGCTTCAGGTCCAGGCCGTTCAACACTCCGGTGGGCTGGACGTAGCAGCCGCCGGTGGACGCCAGGAGGGCGATGAGCCAAATGTGAACTGGAAAAAGAAAACTGAGTACGGTCTATTCTAATTCATGAAAATAAATTGAGACAGATGTAGGCACAGAATGCTGCTTTGCCCTAGCTGAAAATTCAAAGTAGGATGTAGAAAACCAACATTAGGTACCACGAAGAAAATTATGTTAAAATTACTAATTATTTTGTCGGAACGTCCCTATTGTTAATGCTTATTAGGTATGGCTAGCCTATACAGTATACATGTAGTTCAGTATGCTATTATTTTTGTACGTACCGATATTATGAATTGAAGGTAACATGATGTCACTTATCGCCAATTTCGAGCTGTTGAACTAGCAGTCAGGGGTTCCTGAACGCCGAGCTGATGTTCAGAGAGGTTCACAGCGCCTGTAGAGCGTCCTCTCGACAGGTGGAGCGGTGCGCAAATGTCGCCAGCAGTCACTGACACGTCGTTTGTACCCCGACCGGCTGCACAGTGGTCCGTGGAAAAATGACAGACCACAGTGGTGCACTCAGGGTGACAGGCCAGCATGGCGTGAAATGTTTTTACTTTTGACATTTCGGTAGCGCGATTTGAACTTCGTAGCCCTGTTTGGCACGGCACCTGAGGAAAGGCACTTGCTGGCTATTTACTGTATCACTATTTTATGCGTCCATATTTTTATTTTTTATTGAACCAATGTCGACGCCATCGTTTCAGTCCTGAGGCGTCCTAACCTGACGATGGTTGTTATGCACTGTGCAGTGTGCAGTAGTTGCAGTTGTTGGGCTTTGGGATATCCAAACGTCGACCATATCTTGCTGGCCACCAATCCAGTGCGGTTGCCTACCCTACTCATGATTACTATTGACATCTTTGAATTTATGGAACATATAGGTATTATATATGTCATGATGTTTTAGTCAGCTGCGACCGCCCCTTGTTATTTGCCTGACGACGCCCATGGAGCCTTCCGGTGGAGCGCGGCTGGGGCCGCCATTGCGGTGCGACCTCGTGTTGGGTCGGCGCCGTCGGCGCTTAGCCGCCAGAACTATGAGAAACATGACGGGTGCCGAGAGGAGGAGTTACGGTATTGGTAGAGACAAGTAGTAAAGCACGGAACAAATAAAGCATGAACGCGTTTCGATTATTAAATCGTCATCAGCATGATATCGGTACAAAGAAAGCGAGATATGACACACAAACAGTCAAGCTCGTCGCATTCCAATCACCTTGTGAAGGAGATGATTGGACTGGGACGAGCTTGACTGTTTGTGTGTTGTATCTTGTTTTTATTGTACCGATAACATGCTGATGACGATTTAATAATCGAAACACGTTCTTGCTATATTTGTTCCGTGTCTTACCAAGAGTAGTTACTAGTTAGGTACCTTTCATGTCTCCTTTTGTTCCTTTGAAGTGCCGTGTGCGCCCATGAAACTTGCCCGGCCGCAGGGTCAACCTGGGTCAAGAAGCTGGAGCTGCGGGGTATCGATCCCCGTACCTCTCACATGCTAAGCGAGCGCTCTACCACTTGAGCTACAGCCCCCGATGTGTATGTCTGTGTGGAGCTCTGTCGGTGTGTCCGGTCCACCCTCAGCCAGTTCGGGACCACGCCCAGTGGGCCACTTTCACTCGGCGCGTCCTCGGTCCGGTCGGCCGTCCACTCGCCAATCGACGGTGCCACCACACCCGATAACATTGTCGAAACGATATGAAGGCTCTCCGGTCCCCACAGCGCGGCGGCTGTGGTTCACACTCTGGCCCACCCCCAGAGATGGCTCGTGTTTAGGTACCTACTGCTCAGAAGTGTTTTTACCGGGGGCCTTGTGAGGAGCTTTGCCTTGCTGATTTTCAATTTTCAAGAGAGAAGTTCTTGGGTGTCGAGCGCAGGGTATTAATGCTAAGCATGATGTTTTGAATAATGATTGGCTAGGCTGTCGACTAGTTTTGCGTGTCGCTTACATTTTTGTCATTGGTGGTACGTGACCCATGAGTGTTGTGCCAAAAGCTCAGTTCGACAAACATTTCAAACTTTTGTGCTGTGACAGTTGAAAGTACGCTGTCACCGTGATAGTGGTGGAGCCGTGGCACGGGAACACGTCACTCCCGGACCTGCCCAGGTGTCCTGTGACTGACGCAACCATGAGGGCCGTCACCTGTCACATCTGTGACCACATTGCACCCGTCTACCAATGACATTTCTTTACAAAACGGACAGTTTTTACGAGCGAGCGAGCGCAGCGAGCGAAGCGAAGTCTTTTCAATATAACGGAAAAATCTCAGTATGAGCGGCCCGGCCCGGCCCGGACTGTAACGCTTTTGAGAGCCTTATATCTCAGCAACCGCTGGACCGATTGGCCTGCGGTCTTTTTTGCTGGGTAGCCCCATCCCTTCTACCCCGTAATTGACTACTTTTGATGCATCTCAGTGACCGTCGTGGCACGTGCCACGTGAAAAGTCGAGGTTTTCAAGCAGTTTTGCAAAAGTAATGATTTTGAGAGGCCCATATCTCAGCAGCGGCTTGAGCGATTGTCTTGCGGTAAGTTTTATAGGGTAGCTGCACCCCTTCTACCAAAGGTCGGATACTCTTGATCTATGTGAGTGACCCCCACTGCACGTGCAAAATACAAAAAGAAGAGGTGCCAAATTTGTTCCCATTTCAGTAATTCGGTAATTACTGGGGCGATTTCGCTGAAACTTGGCATACAGGTAGGCACCCACCAGGCAATGAATTCCCATGTGTTGCGGTTAGGGTGCTACTGCACGTGCGCACGTGCAGGGGGCGTTTCCAGATCTCGAGAACGGCTGGGCCGATTGCGCTCAAATTTGGTACACGGTTGGGGACCGGTTAGTAGGGTGCCGTGCAAAAGTCATTTTGGACCTCGTTTGCACGTGCGCACGTGCAGAATGCCGCTTCCAGATCTCAGGAACGGCTGGGCCGATTGCATTCAAATTTGGCACACCGCTAGCGACCGGTTAGAAGGGTGCTTTGCACAAGCCCGTTGGAAGTACCCTCTCGCCCTTCCGCAGGGCTCACTATCTCGCTCGCTCGTTCTTCGCCCAAAAGGCGTTTTACTGGTTTCTTATGATTTGACAAACTTAAAGCTGCGAATGTGTTCTTAGAATTACCTTTAGAGAGAGAGAGTGTGGTGAGTTGGCGCCACTTTTTAGAATACAATAAATACCTACGTATACCTCAAATTCATTCACATACCTATTTCTACACCCTTTCAACGATGGCAGGTTTTACATTCGGTCTGGAGGCAAAGCAAGAGTAGGTAAAATATTTAATATCAATAGATGGCCTGGCTAATGCAAAAATAAAAACGCAGGAAATACATTGTACACTTTCAACGTTCCTTCTAAGTGTATTTTTAAACCTTGTCAAAATTACGAGCGGTCACATCTAATGTTTTGCGTACATTGCAGTGTAACTTTATTCTGCTTAAGAGCGCCAACGTAACTCACAGCAAAACATTCCTCCGATATGCCACCGTAACAGAATGCAGGGATTGTCTTGCTGACCTTCCGTTCCCAACAGGAGCCTAGCAGTGCATCATGCTTCGGGGCTTGAGAGTTACATCTGTAGTGCCATGACCATCACAAAGGTCCCTATTTCCACACATTTCGTAGACACGCTGTACGCACTTCTTGGCTTTGACAGACAAGCAATGAAGCCGTTTGATTATGGGTTGCCAACATAAGCCTCAAACAGACTCATTTTGTGTTTGGAATTCCATACAACAGCAATGAATGGCCGATCAAGGATGAACTCTACCTCTGTTGGTGGGGGGATTATCACACTCGTCACACCAATGGTAATGGCGGCTGCTCCAGCGGCCTCCGTTCCCACTTCAGTGACGTTCATGAACACTTCCAGAATGATCTGATCAACCTTGAGAGATGTCGTGGATATACCGCTGAGATCGGCCATGTTTGAAAACACTCTGTTCATTCCCATCGATTGGAACTCGCCTTTCAGGTTATCATACTTAGCCTTCATCTCAAATCGAGGCATATGGACGTCACATACTTTCGACTGCATCTGGGATGTGAGCTGAGCGAGATCGACTGAATCCAGCGAGTTTAGCATTGTCTGAACGGCTGACATGCTCCGACTCAGGGGTCTCAGAATCACCATGCTGTAATCAGTGTCGCGATATGGGAGCGAAATGGCGTCAAACTTACCAGCGATCTTTACATAGTTCATGTACTTCTGCTTTAATTTCATCATGGGCACCTGTTTAATTCCACTGTTAGTAAGAAAATCTTCTTGTTTTGTATTCATGTCGGGGAATTCGTCCAACCACAGAGCTTTGAAATACAGAGCGCTAACCAGTACCATTTTGACGCCTTGTAAGCCACCCTCGGAGACAAGGTCTCTGATCAGGTTGTTGGTTGTTTGTGCTACGGCGGCGTTTATGTCGTCGGCAGCCTCCTTAGCTGTGGAGAACTTGTTCACCTCAGCTCCATAGTACGTCTGCAGGTCGTCGGCAAACGACTGCTTAACGGTGGTATCGTCCTTCACATAAATCCCATTGAAGACTGATGTGTTGACGTTTGCAGACGTGGTCGATAAGTAGGTGATGGCTGATTTGTAGGAAGGCAGGAACGAATCCGGCGCATTCGGCCTCACGCCTAGCACTGGAGTCATCTGAAGCGAAAAAGATATCAAGTGAGCAGCCAAGGCTGTATCAGGTAGCGATCGGACTGTATTTATTTTATTTTTTTTCTAAATTAATTTCGTCCGAACTTTTTCATTAGAAGGATTTACAAGGACAAAGCCCCGCTAAGCGAAGCTTGTTGCGTTAACCCTGCCCTCTACCCTCCGATCACGCAATTCCGGTTCTGTGGCAGAATTTAGAGTCCAAAGTTTAACGTGCGCACATAGCTGCACACGGCCGGTCACCTGCCTACGGCCTGCCACTAACTGCAACCATACCTGCCAGGAGGCCCATAAACGTCAAGCGCCCGTCGCGCTTCGAACCCGGACTGTTGTAACCGGGAACGCGTGCTCTCACTACGTGGAGTCCAACGCTCTACCGACTGAGCTACGGGACCGGGACCGGTATTAGGTGGACTTATTTAGCTGTTTTCTCACCAATGCTATGTTGCAGCTAGTGGTCACGCGCCCTGCCCACCCCGTCCGATATTACCCCCTCTCTGTCCGCCCTTACCTCGCTCCTGGTGACGCCTCTGGCGCCCAGCCAGACCTGGCTGAGCAGGGTGGACATGACGAACGGCGACACGGGCCTGTTGGCGCTGAGGTCGCTGGTCACCGCCTTTAGCAGCTTCAGGTCCAGGCCGTTCAACACTCCGGTGGGCTGGACGTAGCAGCCGCCGGTGGACGCCAGGAGGGCGATGAGCCAAATGTGAACTGAAAAAAAGAAAGCGAATCATGGTGTACCTATTTCAAATTCGTGAAAAAGAAAGAAGTTTGACACAGTCCTAGTTTGGCAGTTTGGCATAGTTGAAATTAAAGGGTCATGATGTGGAAAACCGGAATTATTGCAAGTTGAATTATCTTAAAATGAAAATGACTTTTCCTCGAATATAGAAAATTTAAATGTCGAAAATGATGTATTTAAGGGAATTTTCGCCCACAGGGCATCATCAGACAAGCAATTGTCTGATGATGATGCCAATTGCTTGTCTGATGATGCCCTGTGGGCGAAAATTCATTTAAATACATCATTTTCGACATTAAAACTTTCTATATTCGAGGAAAAGGTCATTTTCAATTTGAGATATTATAACAATAGGTATGTTCCTCGCGAGAGCACTCAACACCATATTTTCAAGCTGAATTATATTTAAAATTCATAAGCTATGTTTAGTCAGAATGATCCTGTTTCTAATGCTTATTTTGGCTAGCCTGTTTATCCTGGTAGGTATGTTTGGTTTCCTTTTGTACGTACCGATATTATGAATTGAAGGTAACATGATGTCACTTATCGCCAATTTCGAGCTATTGAACTAGCAGTCAGGGGTTCCGGAACGCCGAGCTGATGTTCAGAGAGGTTCACAGCGCCGGTAGAGCGTCCTCTCGACAGGTGGAGCGGTGTGCAAATGTCGCCAGCAGTCACTGACACGTCGTTTGTACCCCGACTGGCAGCGCGGTGATCCGTGGAAAAATGACAGACCGCAGTGGCGCACTCAGGGTAACAGGGCAACGTGGCGTGAATTGTTTTGTCTTTTGACATTTCGGTGGCGCGATTTGAACTTTGTAGCCCTCTTTGGCACGGCATCTCATGGTGAAAGGCACTTGCTGGTTTTTGCTGTAGGTAGGTCATCATTTTATGCATCCATAGTTCTTTATTGAACCAATGTCATCGTATCACCATCGTTTGTCCTGATACGTCCTAAACTGACTTTGGTTGCTGTGCACTGTGCATTAGTTGCGGTTGTTGTGCTTTGGGGTTTCCAGACGTCGACCACATCATGCTGGCCATCAAGCCAGTGCGGTTCCGTGGTTCTCGGTAGGTGTTGTTGGTTTTCCCTTCTGCCATGAAAGCTGTTGCCTCTCGGCAGCAGTTCGCTCCGTTCAGCAAGTAGGTAGGCTGCCAAGACACATCACACCGAAAAATATTTACAAATTGTTTTTGTTGATTAGGATGTAACATATCCAGTCATGTGAATCCAGTCATGATATCCAGTCGTGTGGTCTTCTTATTTTTACCGTAACATTCTAATCACACTCATAATCGTTTGGGTTCATTTTTTTCGCGTGCTTGCATACGTTTTTGGTAGTGATGAGTGCATAAAACTGAAATGTTTAGTTAGAATTTCAAATGACCTTGTCCTCGATAATCCTAATTGAAAATGCATTAAACAGCAAATATTATATTGTTTGGCAAATTTTCGAACCACCGTTCATTCATGCGCTCCTGGTTTGTACATAACCATGAGCATGTGTGCCGTCAAACGAGGCAATCTCGCCATATCACACTGCCCAAGTCTAGCAACAATCACGGGAAACGCCGATTTGTGTACCGGGCTGCCGACCTGTACAACCGAATGGTGATCGCCAGGGACAGAGATCACATGTCACTGCGCAGCATCAAGGCATCTATCCGTGATGACCTAACCAGCCATTGAACACAACGGTCGTGTATTTTGTGTCATATTAGGTTCACTGTATTGATCGATCTTATTAGGTGTCTTTTATGAAGTGTTCATTGTGTGCTCATATTGCATTGTATATGACGAAGGTCGCAGAATAGCCCTGCACCAGTGGAGCGACCTTATTCGGTAAATACATACATACATACATACATACATTCTCAAGCCACATGAAACAATTGACAACAATTGACAATTGTCAATTGTTTTATGTGGCTGGATAATGAACTGTGGTTCGAAAACTTGCCAAACAATATAATATTTGCTTTTTATTGAATTTCCAATTAATTATCGAGGAAAAGGTCATTTGAAATTCTAGCTACATACATCAAGATGTTCGTCGCTAGAGCACGGCATACTATTTCTTCATAAAAAAGCATTGAACATCTTAATTATTTACACGTTTTTATTCTCGAAGGGTCAGCCAGACCTCTTCGTCCCATATAACATGCTGTTTGATGCTCCCACCACACGGAGAACACGGTGGCGAAATAGATGACGCTGCGAGCGCTCGTTTCGCGTGACGGTCACGGGCCCACGACTCACGAGCGATCTCCTATTAGGCTGGAACGACCAGTTGATGCTGTGTGAAGTGCTGTTACATGGACTTCAAGCACAGCGTCTTCACTTCGTGTTTCGCTACTGATGAGTAGGTGCCTATCTATGCTGGTGATAGGACGTCCATTGCCAACAACACAGGTGGTTTTGTCATTCATTCGACTTTATATAGCCCTGATACCTACGTTCCCTTCTCAGATGGGAACCTTCGAAACATAGGCGGCGGAACAGGGAGGGCACCGGGGCACCGTGCCCCCTTTGATTTTGGTATTTTAACATTAGCCCTATGGGCGTTGCATGGAAAGAATGGGACCAAAAGTCGGCAGTGCCCCCCCCCCCTTAATTGAAGATGTTCCGCCGCTACTGCTTCGAAAGCAAATGAGCAGGAAACCCGCTACTTAATCTGAGCTCTCGCACCCGATTGTCGACTATTGAAAGCGATATTGATTAGATATTGACTTTGAGCTTACAGGCTGATACTTTTGGAATGTCCTACATACCTTACGCATCAAATATACGCTAGCTGGCATATTACTGAGAGATTTTGATTGGCGTAATCGTGAACGATTCCGGAGTAAGCTCGATGGCCTTATATCCACCCCCCCCCCCCCCCACACACACACCCCACCCCCACCCCAGTGTGGTGCGGTCGGCTCAAGACCCCTTCGTTGCTTGGGTAAATTATTGAAGTGAAGTGGCGGCCGTTGGAAGTTCGATTGTCCGGACAGACTGCGACAGACGACGTTGCCATAACGTCATTACAACAAACGAATGAAATACACGGGGCAGCTGTTAAAAATGCACCTGATAGGACCTTACGTTCGTATGTGACGCTATGCATGTCATTTGTACAATGCATATGTATCGGACTCTGGTGATATCAGAATGTGACACAATGAAGGATATTCCACCTTATAAATTACACAGCTCTACCTTTTAGCTACATTGTGGAATGTTTCTACTTTGCGATCGCAGCAGAGGTGCAGAAGTGCCGCTCCCTTCACTCGCCTCAGTCTGGGGCACAGGGACGGGTGTGCTGGGGCTAAGACTTCATCGTCCAGAGCTCCGGGTGAAGTGTATTTATTATCAGATACATCCAGGTGGGTAATCAGAACCTGAGTGTGGCTGACAGTAAATACCTCAAATTGTAAGAGAAATGGGCAGCTTCTGCCTTAAAAGTTATCTGTTACTACGTTAGAGCGCGATGTAATAACTCTTCATGACAATCTCTATAAACTTGCTTTGCGAAGCATAAACCAGATAAAAAGAGGGTAAGTTGTAATTGTCGCGGACTCGAAGTATGTACTTTGAATCGATTTATTATTAAGGCTTTTTAGACGCCGATCTCCAAACTGTGTAACTTTGTCTTTAACTTCGCCCAACACCGGCAGGCAGTGATGGCCGCAGACGGGACGGCCGCGGTCCTGGCCTGGTCCGGCCGAGTCGCCCTGTTGCTGCTGGCCTCTCAGCGCGCCTCCTGCCAGACGACCGGCGGCCCCGTGAATGCCGCCATCATGAAGATGCGTGTGTTCGAGCCAGCGGTGCACTCGCAGCTGCCTTCTTCTATGGTTCTGGCCGAGTTCACCGCCGCCTCGGAGTGCGCCTGCCAGCAGGCTTGCCTCGCCAGACACGACTGCCTCAGCGTCAGCATCACCAAGGAGGTGCTGGATTCCGCCAGACGTGACTGGGGGTTGGGGTGACTTGCTTCCGCAGCCCTTATGCACTTACATATAAACAAATTAAACAAAAATGTTGTATGTTTTGCATAAGTAACGAAACTATCATAATCGTAAGTACATATGTTTCAAGGCTCTCGTTATTCAAAAATGCCGTGACTTGCAGTTTTTAACAACTATTTCGCTTTCCTTCCTCAGGCTGTTGATCCTGAAAACAGCGTCATTAAGCTGGCATCAAACATCGATGACGATGGCGACAGGACCCCATCTGAGCAGATCACCTCTAGCCCTATTACTTGTCGTCTGGGCCGTCGGCGTGGTCACGCGGAGCTGAACCTGCCGTCCATCTCCAGTGTGTTCTGGGAGCGCATGGGCCGCAGCCACCTGGGCGACTTCTGCTCACACTTCTCCGAGTGCGTCACCGCCGGCGCCGTCTGCCACGACAACACGTGCGTGTGCGCGGCCGGGCTGCGTGCCGACGGCAGCTGCCACTGTCTGGAGAGAGCCGCCGGCGAGCCGTGCTGGTTTCAGACGTGCGACCAGGTGCGCTCGGCCGGTGTCCAAGACAGCGGCGTCTGTCTACTGCGACACCTCACCGAGGATGATGGTCACCGGGAGTTTTGGGCGCGCTGCGAAATGGCCGAGGACGGCCACGGCTGGACGGTGATCCAGGCGAGAGATCTGGCCATCCAGAACGGCGGTAACTTCAACCGCTCCTGGAACGAGTACCTGAGGACGTTCGGCAGCGTCTCCGACAACCACTGGCTCGGACTGCGCAACATCCGCAAGATCATACAGCTGGGCGGCGGTGAGCAGGCGCTGCGCATCGCCCTGCAGGACGAGAGCGGCGCCTGGGACTACGCCGTGTACGACACCTTCCGGCTGGCCCCCGAGGAGCAGGGCTTCACCCTGACCGTGGACGGCTACCAGTCGTCCCTGGGCGGTCTCGGCGCCGCCATGAGCGCCACGCACTATGAGTGCAAGTTTTCCACTTACGACAAGGACCAGGACTCGACGGAGAAGAACTGTGCCCTGCTGCTCGGCGGTGGCTGGTGGTACCTCCGGTGCAGGGGCGTCAGTCTGAACGGCACCCCGAACGAGTCGAGGCTGTACCGGCCCAGAGCCATGTACTGGCCCGACTGGGGAGAAAAGAAGATCGTCAAGTCGCTGATGATGATCCGTACGGCCAAGGATTAGTAACGAAGGAAGGATGTGCTTTGCTCACACGCTTTAGGTATACTGATGTTTAAAAATGTTAAGTCACTCTGAATCCCGCTTTGAAATTGACATCCTTTTCGTGTCAAGATCAAACAGCAGTTTGTGTGGCAACTAGAGGGAGCATATTCCCGTGTCTGTGTGACCCTGTCTTGTTCTCTGTCTCACTTCCTCTCTTTTTCTTCTGCCTCCCTCTCCGATCTTCACTCATCACGCAAAGTGGTTGATGGTACCTAATTGACAGTTATCACCATGGTACTGTGTCACAAAATCACGTCGCATCGAGTATCTTTTTAAAACTAATAATTTCAACGAATACGTATTGTGTTTCCTCTTTTTTATATTCTTCGTGTTGTTTTAGGACTTAATGTTTTTGAATTTTTACATTCGAAGTGTATTGTAAAACACATATTTATTAACTGTACGTAAGTAAAAACGACTGTCAACTACATAGGTGGTGCGTGAAGTTGTTAAAGTTATACTGAGTAGGCATGCTTTTTAATAGAATTAAATATATGCTATTCTTTCTGAACCAAATGTTAACAGTTACTCGGGAATGTTTTATTTAAGTCATAAACACCGATATGACGATTTACCTATTGACGAGGAACGCCCCATGTCGTTTGACGTCATACTTGACAAGAGGGCTACCCATCAATCCAATCCGACAAAGTTTTCAAACGCGTCACTGATAACTCTTACGTATATAGCTATCACTCCAGGAAATGCCGATTTCTGATCTCAAACTCAACATAATGTTACACCATATCTCGTACAGGGATGTCCACCGACACTTGTTGTCACATCATAGAATGATAAGTACTTACGCGCTATTTTAGGCGATTGCTGCTAGAGATCGAGATAGAAACACAATCTAACGGTATCCTAGTGTTTCCCTGGCCTTCGTGCTTAGATATGTCTGGGAAATATCATACACTCATGACTAAATTGATAGCATTATTCTTCTAAAACAAACCTCAGGTTATAAATATATTGCAGGTAAAATATCCAGATTATAGGTAAAGAGACGATTTTCAGCCTGAATATTCTGCAAGCTTTCATTTGAGCGTTAACAGATGCCAGATGAGATAAAAACGATGTGATTCTTTTGATATCTAGGTATTTGTGCCAGTGACCATCCGGAAGTATGGAACAAACGCTACCTCAGCAAAGCAACCTGACGAAATGTGTGTGCAATTATATGTGTATCCAGATTTGCATTACCAAGCTAGTTGTATGACTACCATGCCGTCGGACGAGAGATTCAATGGGCTTATCTCTATGATTCACAAACCCAGCTAGATGATGAGAGGAGGGCTTCTATCTCCGCGCGTGACTTGTCCGGACAGGTTTGAGAAGAAGCGATAATGCACACCCGTCTTGAGATGTATGTCTGTCTGAGTGGATGCTACTCAGGTCGAGTGCCGGACGTCAGGTCCGTGCAGGGAGGCACTTCTGCACTCGCGTCATCACGCACGCCCCACGGGCTGTATCGTGGTGTCATCGCTATCAGTAGGGGTCCGCCGGGGAGGGGGGTTATAAGTGAGCCGCACTGGTCTCGGTCCTCATCAGTTCGTCGCCGAGGGTGGTGAAGGTGACTGCTCTTGGAGCTGCGCACACACACACACACACACACACACACACACACACACACACACACTCACAGATAGGTGTTGAAAAGAGTAGTGTTGGTCTCTTTTCTTGAAAGTTATTCTCGTATGTCTGATTCGTGTGATTCGATGTCGTATACCACATGCATATCAGTATCGGTGACTTTTTCATTGAGCAGATTTGATATCGAGTGAATTTGTCCGTTAATTAATCCATAAGTATAGTTGTAAGCTCTAGCTCACGCTCGTTACTGCTCCGTTCACAGAGTTGCCATGCTGCGTGTTCTACTGGCCCTGGCGTGTCTCGGCGCCCTGCAGGCGGCATGTCCATCAAGTTAGCGTCGTATTCGTATTCGTTTTCAGCGTCGAGTTCAAAACATCGCCAAACTATGCAAAACGATAGATCTTGACACGCTGATTCCAAAAATGTCACTCATTTTTTCCTAGGTCAAATATTTTGACCTCTAGGGGCAAAAAACCACTCTGGCTATAAACAACAATAAGGTACTTCTTTATTTACCGTCCGATCGGGCTGAAACTTACACAAAACATGTGCCGCCACACAAGGATGCGTCACAATCAACAAAATCGCCGATCGAGGTCAAAGGTCAAGGTCATATTTGCGAAAAACCGTTATTTTTCGACGGGGTACCAAATAAAAACTTTATTTACCGTCCGATCGGGCTGAAACTTACACAAAACATGTGCCGCCACACAAGGATGCGTCACAATCAACAAAATCGCCGATCGAGGTCAAAGGTCAAGGTCATATTTGCGAAAAACCGTTATTTTTCGACGGGGTACCAAATAAAAACTTTATTTACCGTCCGATCGGGCTGAAACTTACACAAAACATGTGCCGCCACACAAGGATGCGTCACAATCAACAAAATCGCCGATCGAGGTCAAAGGTCAAGGTCATATTTGCGAAAAACCGTTATTTTTCGACGGGGTACCAAATAAAAACTTTATTTACCGTCCGATCGGGCTGAAACTTACACAAAACATGTGCCGCCACACAAGGATGCGTCACAATCAACAAAATCGCCGATCGAGGTCAAAGGTCAAGGTCATATTTGCGAAAAACCGTTATTTTTCGACGGGGTACCAAATAAAAACTTTATTTACCGTCCGATCGGGCTGAAACTTACACAAAACATGTGCCACCACACAAGGATGCGTCACAATCAACAAAATCGCCGATCGAGGTCAAAGGTCAAGGTCATATTTGCGAAAAACCGTTATTTTTCGACGGGGTACCAAATAAAAACTTTATTTACCGTCCGATCGGGCTGAAACTTACACAAAACATGTGCCGCCACACAAGGATGCGTCACAATCAACAAAGTCGCCGATCGAGGCCAAAAGTCAAGGTCATATTTGCGAAAAACCGTTATTTTTCGACGGGGTACCAAATAAAAACTTTATTTACCGTCCGATCGGGCTGAAACTTACAAAAAACATGTGCCGCCACACAAGGATGCGTCACAATCAACAAAATCGCCGATCGAGGTCAAAGGTCAAGGTCATATTTGCGAAAAACCGTTATTTTTCGACGGGGTACCAAATAAAAACTTTATTTACCGTCCGATCGGGCTGAAACTTACACAAAACATGTGCCGCCACACAAGGATGCGTCACAATCAACAGAATCGCCGATCGAGGTCAAAGGTCAAGGTCATATTTGCGAAAAACCGTTATTTTTCGACGGGGTACCAAATAAAAACTTTATTTACCGTCCGATCGGGCTGAAACTTACACAAAACATGTGCCGCCACACAAGGATGCGTCACAATCAACAAAATCGCCGATCGAGGTCAAAGGTCAAGGTCATATTTGCGAAAAACCAGTTATTTTTCGACGGGGTACCAAATAAAAACTTTATTTACCGTCCGATCGGGCTGAAACTTACACAAAACATGTGCCGCCACACAAGGATGCGTCACAATCAACAAAATCGCCGATCGAGGTCAAAGGTCAAGGTCATATTTGCGAAAAACCGTTATTTTTCGACGGGGTACCAAATAAAAACTTTATTTACCGTCCGATCGGGCTGAAACTTACACAAAACATGTGCCGCCACACAAGGATGCGTCACAATCAACAAAATCGCCGATCGAGGTCAAAGGTCAAGGTCATATTTGCGAAAAACCGTTATTTTTCGACGGGGTACCAAATAAAAACTTTATTTACCGTCCGATCGGGCTGAAACTTACACAAAACATGTGCCGCCACACAAGGATGCGTCACAATCAACAAAATCGCCGATCGAGGTCAAAGGTCAAGGTCATATTTGCGAAAAACCGTTATTTTTCGACGGGGTACCAAATAAAAACTTTATTTACCGTCCGATCGGGCTGAAACTTACACAAAACATGTGCCGCCACACAAGGATGCGTCACAATCAACAAAATCGCCGATCGAGGTCAAAGGTCAAGGTCATATTTGCGAAAAACCGTTATTTTTCGACGGGGTACCAAATAAAAACTTTATTTACCGTCCGATCGGGCTGAAACTTACACAAAACATGTGCCGCCACACAAGGATGCGTCACAATCAACAAAATCGCCGATCGAGGTCAAAGGTCAAGGTCATATTTGCGAAAAACCGTTATTTTTCGACGGGGTACCAAATAAAAACTTTATTTACCGTCCGATCGGGCTGAAACTTACACAAAACATGTGCCGCCACACAAGGATGCGTCACAATCAACAAAATCGCCGATCGAGGTCAAAGGTCAAGGTCATATTTGCGAAAAACCGTTATTTTTCGACGGGGTACCAAATAAAAACTTTATTTACCGTCCGATCGGGCTGAAACTTACACAAAACATGTGCCGCCACACAAGGATGCGTCACAATCAACAAAATCGCCGATCGAGGTCAAAGGTCAAGGTCATATTTGCGAAAAACCGTTATTTTTCGACGGGGTACCAAATAAAAACTTTATTTACCGTCCGATCGGGCTGAAACTTACACAAAACATGTGCCGCCACACAAGGATGCGTCACAATCAACAAAATCGCCGATCGAGGTCAAAGGTCAAGGTCATATTTGCGAAAAACCGTTATTTTTCGACGGGGTACCAAATAAAAACTTTATTTACCGTCCGATCGGGCTGAAACTTACACAAAACATGTGCCGCCACACAAGGATGCGTCACAATCAACAAAATCGCCGATCGAGGTCAAAGGTCAAGGTCATATTTGCGAAAAACCGTTATTTTTCGACGGGGTACCAAATAAAAACTTTATTTACCGTCCGATCGGGCTGAAACTTACACAAAACATGTGCCGCCACACAAGGATGCGTCACAATCAACAAAATCGCCGATCGAGGTCAAAGGTCAAGGTCATATTTGCGAAAAACCGTTATTTTTCGACGGGGTACCAAATAAAAACTTTATTTACCGTCCGATCGGGCTGAAACTTACACAAAACATGTGCCGCCACACAAGGATGCGTCACAATCAACAAAATCGCCGATCGAGGTCAAAGGTCAAGGTCATATTTGCGAAAAACCGTTATTTTTCGACGGGGTACCAAATAAAAACTTTATTTACCGTCCGATCGGGCTGAAACTTACACAAAACATGTGCCGCCACACAAGGATGCGTCACAATCAACAAAATCGCCGATCGAGGTCAAAGGTCAAGGTCATATTTGCGAAAAACCGTTATTTTTCGACGGGGTACCAAATAAAAACTTTATTTACCGTCCGATCGGGCTGAAACTTACACAAAACATGTGCCGCCACACAAGGATGCGTCACAATCAACAAAATCGCCGATCGAGGTCAAAGGTCAAGGTCATATTTGCGAAAAACCGTTATTTTTCGACGGGGTACCAAATAAAAACTTTATTTACCGTCCGATCGGGCTGAAACTTACACAAAACATGTGCCGCCACACAAGGATGCGTCACAATCAACAAAATCGCCGATCGAGGTCAAAGGTCAAGGTCATATTTGCGAAAAACCGTTATTTTTCGACGGGGTACCAAATAAAAACTTTATTTACCGTCCGATCGGGCTGAAACTTACACAAAACATGTGCCGCCACACAAGGATGCGTCACAATCAACAAAATCGCCGATCGAGGTCAAAGGTCAAGGTCATATTTGCGAAAAACCGTTATTTTTCGACGGGGTACCAAATAAAAACTTTATTTACCGTCCGATCGGGCTGAAACTTACACAAAACATGTGCCGCCACACAAGGATGCGTCACAATCAACAAAATCGCCGATCGAGGTCAAAGGTCAAGGTCATATTTGCGAAAAACCGTTATTTTTCGACGGGGTACCAAATAAAAACTTTATTTACCGTCCGATCGGGCTGAAACTTACACAAAACATGTGCCGCCACACAAGGATGCGTCACAATCAACAAAATCGCCGATCGAGGTCAAAGGTCAAGGTCATATTTGCGAAAAAACCGTTATTTTTCGACGGGGTACCAAATAAAAACTTTATTTACCGTCCGATCGGGCTGAAACTTACACAAAACATGTGCCGCCACACAAGGATGCGTCACAATCAACAAAATTCGCCGATCGAGGTCAAAGGTCAAGGTCATATTTGCGAAAAACCGTTAAAGTACGAAAAATAACGGTTTTTCGCAAATATGACCTTGACCTTTGACCTCGATCGGCGAATTTTGTTGATTGTGACGCATCCTTGTGTGGCGGCACATGTTTTGTGTAAGTTTCAGCCCGATCGGACGGTAAATAAAGTTTTTATTTGGTACCCCGTCGAAAAATAACGGTTTTTTCGCAAATATGACCTTGACCTTTGACCTCGATCGGCGATTTTGTTGATTGTGACGCATCCTTGTGTGGCGGCACATGTTTTGTGTAAGTTTCAGCCCGATCGGACGGTAAATAAAGTTTTTATTTGGTACCCCGTCGAAAAATAACGGTTTTTCGCAAATATGACCTTGACCTTTGACCTCGATCGGCGATTTTGTTGATTGTGACGCATCCTTGTGTGGCGGCACATGTTTTGTGTAAGTTTCAGCCCGATCGGACGGTAAATAAAGTTTTTATTTGGTACCCCGTCGAAAAATAACGGTTTTTCGCAAATATGACCTTGACCTTTGACCTCGATCGGCGATTTTGTTGATTGTGACGCATCCTTGTGTGGCGGCACATGTTTTGTGTAAGTTTCAGCCCGATCGGACGGTAAATAAAGTTTTTATTTGGTACCCCGTCGAAAAATAACGGTTTTTCGCAAATATGACCTTGACCTTTGACCTCGATCGGCGATTTTGTTGATTGTGACGCATCCTTGTGTGGCGGCACATGTTTTGTGTAAGTTTCAGC